TCCCAATGCAAGAGCCACTAGCCATCTGTGGCCATTCAGCACATGAAAGTGGACAAATTAAGAAACTAAATGCTTCACTTATTCAATTTTAGCTAGTGTAAATAGCTTTAGATAGTCCCAGAGAGTTCAATGTTTTTGGTTTGGGGTTTTCATTTGTTTGTTTTCTGATTGCTGAAAAACTACTGAAAAGCATTCACACAAATAAATACACATGTCAATTAGTGAGAAATTTCTTCTGAAAAGAATGGAACATTCTTAAAGTTGGCCAAGTTGGTATACAGAAATATATCAGCATGGTTATTTGGTCAGGTCATGAAAAGGCCACCTCATCCATATCTCAGAAGTCATTTCTAAAAATAATTATTTGATTAAGTGTTCAAAAGCAAATGATGAGGTTTTCTTTGATGGAAATGGTGCATCCCAAATAAGCTTGGGAAATGGCTGTACTTTCTGTTTCTCTTGTAGATCCACAGTGTACATCAATATAATAAAGACTCCAAGAAGTCCAACAGTATATAGCTCCGGAAAACACAATTTAGCTTAGAAATCCCAACATGCTAAAGAAAGGATCCTGTGTGCACATGAGTGTGTGTGTGTGTGTGTGTGTGTGTGTGTGTGTGTGTGTGTGTGTGTGTGTAAAACCTTAGCATCACAGGAAACTAGAGAAGCAGGGTGAGGACTTGGACTTTGATAGCAAACAATGCCAGACTCATTACTAGCTCGTGACTTTAAGAAAGTCAGTTAACCTTTCTCACTATTTTGTTCAATAAAACTAATTACTGTATCACCAGCTAGCATGAGGATTAAACACAATGAGTATGAGCCTATCACAGTTCTTAATACCTGGTGAATTGTTCCCCAAGCAATTAGCTATTATTTTCATAACACATGTGTGGGGTTAGGTGACTAAGTGGCAGTGGGTCCAGGGAGAAAGGTGCCATACCCAGAGTTCACTCATGAGCATTGTATTGGAAACCAGAATGAGAGAGGAATCTACATTGCATCCCACTACTATGAATGTACACCTGGCACCAAATGTCTTTCTTGGCACATCTACCATTGAGCCAGGGATTGAAGCATGTTACCCTTTGAATCACCCACCCCCAGGTGAAGCAAAGAGAAGACCCTTCATGTGTGCCTGTGCTTTGCTTTGCTCTGCTATGCCTGGCCCACACTTTTCTTTCATCATGTCCAACCATTGTGAGTCTATGCTGCAAACTGACTTCTTTGCTGTTCATTAGTTATGACAGAAACATGCTCACCTCTGGGCCTTTGCATTGGCTTCCTGTTTGGTATAGCACTCTCTTCCAGTTATCTAAGCCTCCTTCTCTTATAACTGTCACTCCTTTACTGAATGCTTTCTTCTCAACTCTCTCTCAACTAGCAACACAACCCCACCTGCTCATGTCCTCTCTAATCTTTTTCCTTGCCCACACATCTGATGTGCTATGTTTGATTTTCTTATCTGTTTTCACCTGACAGAACATAAGCTACCTTAGAGCTGAGTGTCTCTATCTGTATCATGTCCCACATCTGACACCAAAGACACCAACCAGTGAGAACTGGAAAGATGGTTCTGCAGTTAAGAATGCTTGCTGTTTCTGTAGGGTACCTGGGTTTGGTTCCCAGCACCCAAATCAGACTGCTCACAAACCACCTGTAATTGCAGTGCCATGAGACTTGACACCTCTTCTAATCCCCAAGAGCACCTTCACACACATAACATACAAACAGGCACACACACATTCATGCAAAATAAATTAATCTTAAAAAAAAAAAAAACTCACTGACTGGTAACCAGAAGCCAAAATTGTGCATGTTCTGTCCCTGCATTTAGTTTGCAGGATGACTTACCCCAAAGAAGGAAACACATCTCCAGCATGGCCTCTGTGGTTTTTATTAGTGTTTTCTGGGACCCATCAAACAAACAAATAAAGACGTATTTTTGAAAAATAGAATTCTTTCATTAAACAGAAATCGTTTGGATTTAACAGTTTAAGGGGGAAAGGTTCTGATTTAAAAAACAAAATAAAGTGGCAGTAGGGTTGTTGCCCTCCAATTATCAACCCAGAAGCCAGATGGCAAGAATGAAATTTATAGCTACAGAATGATTAACCCCAATTCAGCTAAACTCTGAAGTCTACATGAATTGCTGAGGGCAATTCACCTGTGACACTAAGATTGTCATGATGGTGTTTCAATCTCAGAGCCAGTGTTCCTCCATAGGTCCAGATCATGTGCCTTTTATAACCTATATGTCCACACACACTCTCTTCACATATATGATGTTCCAATATGCACAGGGCACCTAGAAGGTGCATTATTTCAACTACAGAAGAATAATATAATTGCTTTTCCCTCTTACTGCTCTCCCTTTTCTTATATTTTATACATAAAAAGACACACTTGCAAAATTAACATCTAACATGCATGGCTAACCTTATCAAAATATCCCTCAGCATTTTTCAAAAAGGAAAAAAAACCAACCCCTAAATACTAAAACTGAAAACAGTTTTATGCTTAAATAGCAATTGACATCATATAAACACATTTATAATCTTCATTGATTAAATAGGTCAAGGGTTCATTACTGGCATCTTGTAACCAGGTTAAGTCTCACAGTTCTGGGTAAGGCAACAGAATTCTCATCCAGCAGACGCTGATGTGTGGAACCAAGCAGCCTGTTTGAATCTCTTTTCAGCACAGATAGGAGGCAAAGGAGAGTATCACAGTAAAATGTTCATCGTAGAGGTTATGTCCTTGAAGGTTTGGTTATTGTGTTCTGTTCTGAAGAAGTGACTCACATCCCAGTTATGAATATGACTGATGTCTGCCCAGTCAAAGGAGTCTTCCAGAAGATAGACACCATTCATTCAGTGAATAGTTATCCTGTTGCACCCTAGGTATGAGGATAACAAAGTGGTCAAACCTGGTCCCTGCCCTCTGAGAGCTTACAATCTAATCAGTCAAGAATGTGAAGGAAGGCTCTGTGTGTGAAACTCATGAACTGGGTCTTCCCTGCTCAGGCAGCACACTGAAGATGCAGTAGAACTATCCCTGGGACCCAGGGCCTTGCTTAATTTTGTCAAGTTATATAGGAGCCCCAGATGATCTGAGTCTTGTGAAGTATTAATGGTCCATTACTTGACTTATGTTCCCATGAAAACCACTAGTATGTCACTTGTGAATATTCAAGGAGACTGTATTTAGTGAGCCTTTAGCCAATTAATCACAGATGAACTTAGCAATCAAGTGACTATTCCCTAAAGGAAGAGGGGCTTCTCTGTAGGGTTTCTAGTTTCTTTCATATTGTGGTCGGAAGCACTCTGTTACACCCCAAATTGGCATAGCTTCCTACCTGGAGTTCTCCAAGTCATGAACAGCACATATAAAACACACAAATTCAAGCCAAGAAAATAGATATACAAAGCACTTAATACTGCAGCCTATTTAAATAGGCACTAGGTGCCAAGAAACTGCCACTCTTGACAAACAGCACAATCTATTTATCTGCAGAAGTGTTCCCATCTGTCCTCTCCAGACTCCCCTACTCTCTGACAAGGATATCTCTATCATGGAGAAGCTGTAGAAAGAGCCAAAGCCTGTTACAGGAATCCGAGAAACTCACAGGCTTGAAGAAAGTGAACCCAGAGAAAGACCTGACCACCCTAAGCCAAAGCCAGGGAAAGCCATGCAAGGAACAGCAGAGAGAAAACTGGCAGATGCTCCTAATATCAACACACACACACACACACACACACACACACACACACACACAGGCACGCCGACAGATTCTTCCCTCAGTATTTCTTTCTATCATACAAGTTTCTCTCTGCATTCTCAGTATGGACCTTTTCTCTTGCACTTCCTGCTATATCATGGCATTTCTCTGACTTTGGCTCTTGTGGCGTTCTGAAAAGAATTTCCTCCATCTATCGAATCCCATTATCCCTAATACTTAAAAAATATATTGACTTCAAGGTCAATATATTTTCTTTAGGAACTAGAAGATTCTACAAGTCTCTTTGTTCTGATACTGAATGACTGCCTTTATATTGACTGGTTCAATTGGTGTTCTCACTCAAGGGTATTTTTGTCCTCCTAGAGACATTTGACAGTTTCTAGGAACACTTCAGATCGACACAGGTAAAATAAAAATGCTAATGGATGTTACAGATACTGCTACACATTTTACAATGCATAGTGCAACCCTCACCACAAAGAATGAACCAACCCCAAATGTCAACTGTACCCAGGGAGAAACCTTAAACGACACAAGAGCAAACTCATCAGTACGACTGCCTACTTTTCCCACTTAGTTTTGAATAGCTGGGCTGAATTCCACATAGCTAGAAACATGTGGCAAATGACTTTTTTAACCATCCATGGCTAAAGGGGATACAGGAAAATCATCCACGAATGAGAGTAAAGCCTTCCCCCACCATGATCCGCATTTACTTAGCCATTCCCAGTCATATAATCTGCAGTGATTATAGGCCACTCTGGATTATGGAAGGTCCCAGTCTACTTACTCACTGTCTCCTAAGTCTCTACTCACTGTCTCTGGAGGAGGATGCTTATGTGCAGAGAACACACCACCTTTTTTTTTTCTAAATCATTTTGTATATGAAAACATTTAATGCCCTCTTATTTCTTTTCCCTTCCTCTTATCAAGAAGCACAAGGCTACAGGCCCTGTTGTTCTCAGGGTAAAAAAGAACACCACAACAGAGGCAACAGCAAATCACAACCACATACAGCTTCATAGTTCACAGAAAACTGTGTACATTTGTTCCCCACATAGGACATACTTCAAAGTAACAAAATAATTTTTTTATCAACTGTAGTGTCCGTTCTTCCCATCAGAAGTAGATTTTTTTGTCCCTTCATGGTACATAAATATCACTGAAAAGCTGTCTTTGAAATATTTACGTCCAGTTCTTCATTGATCATAATCCATATGTTGTGTGTTTTTGGTTTGTGTCCCAAGGGTTGGCAGCCTCAGTTCTCATTTTCTCTCCATCCACGAGCATTCTTCCCAAATTTATAGACCAGCCGTCGCCCATCCACACGTTCCAGGATTTCTCGTTTGTAGTAGTATCTATAAGAAGGATAAGGGTAAGGTAGCCATTCAGTCTGAGCACTGCAGGGAGTGCCTGCCCTTGGAACTTTGCCATTGGAAGAACGTGAAGTTGCTCACCTCATGGCCCGGCTGAGCTTCTCGTATGTCATACTACTATTGTTCTTCTTTTTCCCCCACAGCTGAGCCACGGCCTCTGACTTCAGGAACCTGAAGATGCCTTCTGAACGGTCTTCCCATTTGATCAGCCCTGGGTTTTTGTCTGGGCTCAGAAGAATGTCTCGAATGAACTCCCATAAGTGAGTCCCTCTTGGGTCTGATGAAAAGCAAGACACAATGACTTATTAATGGCCCAAATCAGAGGACAGGAGAGAGAGAAAATGTGGAGTTACATATTTTTCCTTGAGATGAAGAATCACCAAATCGTCATTTTAGATTTAACAACTAGTATAATCAAGGCATGGGGAACCAATGTGGCACAATCAACTCTCCAGGACTAAAGAATTGGTGTTAACCATGTAATCCAGTCTGAGCTTCTTCTAAATGTTGTTCACAAATGGACTGGGGTTATTTCAGACAGCAATTCTCAGTCATTTGTCTAATACCTCACTTGGTTTAGTTATTCCAACCAGCAGTCATCTCTTAGGACAAGACGTCCCCCAAAGAAAGAGTGATGCATCTCGATGCCTCCTTTGTACCTCAATCCTTTCCCCACCCTGTTTTCTCCCAGACAAAGGGAAATCTTTAACCTTCTGCCCACAATTTCTTTCCCACTGAAGTGTCCTAGTTTTAGAGAAATTATGGTGAGGAAGAAATCCCCAGGAGGCTTCCCTTTCAGAAGCAGTCATGTTGGGAGTCACTTTGATGGAAAACAAGCCCCCTTTAGTGGTGAAGGAATGAAGATAGAAGCAATACTTCCAGGCAACTTACTGTGCTTTTTGGTGTGGGACTTTACAGGGTGGTCTTGTTCCTTTTTCATATCAGGTGACTCTGCTAAGGAGAAAAGTGAGAGCATCTCAGTTTACACACGTCACATAAGTATTGTTCTCACAACACAGTCACTATTTACTTAATACCCACTCCATGTTGGCACTGTCCAGCTGTGTAGCAATGCCCAAACAGAGGATACATGCTATGGAGAAAAATGCTGCAGGGTAGAAAAGGGGGTCGAAGTGTAAAGTGGGACTTGTTTGCAACTTAATCCAACAAAGTCAAAGAAGACTTCTGTGATAAAGGAGCCATTGAGATGTGGCGAAAGTGGCCACTCAGAGAACCTGGGGACAAACTTTCCATAAATGAAGACAATAAATAAGTGCAAAGGGACTCAGGTCACTATGCATTAAGTGTTTACACAGCACAGAAAGAAGCCAGTGTGGATGTGAACAAGGGGCAGAGATAGGAACTGAAGTTCTGATCATTAATACCTTACAGAAAGTTTTGAAAGGACTTTGTTCTGCTTCATCCTGAGAGAGATGGTAAGCCATGGAAAGATTTAGGCCATCCAAAGGATGTTTTTATAACATAATACAAAAATGTAAACACTCATAACAAAGAAGGATAACGTTTAAGCCAGAGGAGTGCCATTTTTTGGCATGCAAAGTTACATTTTAATCACCTTGACAAAGGGGCCATTGAGTGGCCTGAGCTCAGCACAGAGGGCCACAGTGGACTATGGAAACACAGATTAGTTTAACAAATGACTCTTTATGGTAACCCTTTCACTGTCCCCGTAGACAAGAAGACAGAGGCAGATCTATGATGTGAAAATTCTCCTAAGGAAAAAAAAATGAAAACACTGATTTCTCAGGTATATATGACAGGTAGAAAAGTTTAATCCCAGCAAAACAAAAAGCTGAATGATGAAGGCTAGATATCAAGAGGGGATGAGAGGAACAGCAAGAGGCTGGATGATACACCACAAAAGCAGTTACCCTGAAGGAATAAAGTCAATTGTCTATCAGGAAGTAGGATAAAAATACAATGCCTGGTAATTTATTACATAGATTACAAAGAACTAGAAGCAAGAAGTCCTAAGGATACCAGCACTGAGGCAATGTACATTTAAGAAGTGGGGATGTTAACTAGATACCAAGACTGATTTGAGTATCACATATTATATACAAGTACAAAACTTACTGCATGGCTTATAAATATATTGTTACTATGGATTTAAAAAGAAGAAGGAGGAGGAAAAGGAGGAGGAGGAGGAGGAGGAGGAGAAGGAGGAAGAGGAGAAGGGATTGGAGAGATAGCTCAGCAGTTAAAAGCACATGTTGCTCTTGCAGAGGATTTGAATTTGATTCCCAGAACCCATATGGTGGTTCACAACTATCTGTAACTCTAGTTCCAGGGGATCCGATGCCCTCCTCTGATTGCCATAGTCCCCAGGTACACCCATGGTACACAAATATATGTACTGGCAAAACACCCATGTGCATAAAATACATCTTTCACAAAATTTTAAATAAAAGGAAAACTAACAGCTTAGTGGCCCTCCCCCAGGTGTATGGTGTGTGTGTGTGTGTGTGTCTGTGTGTGTGTGTGTGTCTGTGTCCGTGTCTATGTTCTATGTGTCTATGTGTCTATGTGTCTTTGTGTTTGTATATATCTGTATATCCAAGGGTACTTCAGGTGTTGTGTGGACCATTGGTAGTATCACCCCAAGCTCCATAATCAATAGCTAGCCAATTTTGATACAAAATAGTCCGTAAATACAAGTCAGTCATTTAAAGAAATAAAGCAAAACATGTCTCTCTTGTGACATTATAGCAGAACTTCCTAACATATGGATCCCTGTCAAGAGCATTCTAGACTCATCAACACAGATAGGGAGCCAGGCATGCATCTGACAGAGGGGAGTGCTATCCAAAAAAGAGTTTATGTGCTGCAAAAGTTAAAGTGATGCATTTAAAGTGACTGGGGCTGTGGCTCAAGGTTAGAGCACTTGTACAAGAAAAGCCCCAGGCTATCCCAGCACACCAAAAGTAAAGTGATAGATAAAATAGCTAAGAAAAATAACTCCTACTTACTGAGTTCTTGCCATGTACCATGCACAATACTAAACATTTTCCATGACTTATCTTATGTCATTCATACAATAATGATATGAGGTAGGCAGTATTATATAAACTCAATCTTAGAGAGCTTTCATACAAAAGCTCTCTAAGGTTGAGTTTACTTCAATGGAGGATCCAAAAACAGCCTGAAAGTAGAGCCATGCTGTAAATACCAATAACTGGATCCCAGAAGCTTTTGCTCATAACACTTTACTTAAGGAAGGCTCTTTGATCACACAACACACTTCTCAATCATCTTTCCAAGAGTCAATCCATGTCCACAGTGTCTTCACACACAAAACAAGAAATTCTCACGTACTGGTTCTATACTTCCCAATGTATGAGTCTATTCACCTACCCACCCATCCATCCATCCCTGAGCTTTCACACTTTCACATTCCCAGTAGTTTCTCAAAAGTCATGGTGGCATGAGAAGACAGATTAAATAAAAGAGAAACTCCTTATTCTGAGTAAGAATTTCTCTCCTGTATTGATGCCAGCAAGACCTGGCCTTATGTGGCTTTCTCTGAAATCCAAAAGGACCAATACACAGAACTGGAAAGGACACTTCTCTTGGCCCCCTGCAGTTCGAAGGCCAAGGTTGCAACATCCCACCAGGACATGATGACATTGAGACAGGTCTGGCACCCACTCCGGTTTCCCAATAATACATCACCCTGACAGGGCCACGTTGTTCTGGAGACAAAGAATAGCTTTTACCCAGCAGGCCACAAGCAAAGCTCATTTTCCAATGAGATCCAGGAGGGAACAGGGCCATGATTTCAGGGCCAGGGATGGTTTCGGAAAAACACAAGAGTGTCTTGGCACACTGGCCTCAATCAGTGAATGGGGCTCCAACCTGACACAGAATCCATCCACTTTGGGATTATGGTATCTTTGAGAATTGGATGAACACCTAAATGTTCTCCCAAAAAAAAAAATGCAACTATGTTAGGCTAATGAAATTTGGCCAGCAATTTCAGGGATCACTGACCCACTTAGGGGGTTCATAGACTCTAGATTAAAAGACGGCGTTAATTCTATTTGAGATGTTAGCGTTTTCCTCAAGGTAGACCATACATACATACATGTATGTGCATGCACTCTCTCTCTCTCTCTCTCTCTCTCTCTCTCTCTCTCTCACACACACACACACACACAGAGAGAGAGAGAGAGAGAGAGAGAGAGAGAGAGAGAGAGAGAGAGAGAGAGAGAGAGAGAGAGAGAGAGAGAGAGAGAGAGAGAGAGAGAGAGAGAGAGAGAGAGAGAGAGAGAGAGAGAGAGAGAGAGAGAGAGAGAGAGAGAGAGAGAGAGAGAGAGAGAGAGAGAGAGAGAGAGAGAGAGAGAGAGAGAGAGAGAGAGAGAGAGAGAGAGAGAGAGAGAGAGAGAGAGAGTGTCTAGATGTTCCCATTCTCACATGGGAGAATAAGTAATCCAGGACAAAAGATGAATGTTTCTTCCAGACATTCTTTTCCTGCCAATATATAGAGGAAGCCACAAAAAACCTTCCAGCCTTAGTTCTAAATCCTTTTGATCTATGAGCTCCTTTAATACAACTGCCTTGCTCTCGCTCCCGCCCCCTTGTACTCCCCACTGCCACAAAACAAAAGCCAGACCTTTGAAGTGAGCCATGTGGTCAAGTGATTCATTTTTATAAAATAATGGCTAGAAATGCAGAGGTTGTCCTTCCTGACTTTCTCTTGTTTCTCTCTCAGACACTTGGGGTCAAGGTGTCCTGTGGGGTCCAGGCAGAAGCAGTAACAAGTCCTGGGTTTTCAGTATAAGTGGGAGCCTATGCTTTTAGCCTAGCTGCTTCGCAAGAAAGCAGAGATTAGATGTATTTGCATATGAGTCAGCTGTGAGACATTTCTTTACGGGATATACAAATTTTAGTGTCCTAATAGACAGTGCCACCCTAGCTTGAGGCTTAACAAGTCAGTAGATAAACACATCAAGCCTGAGTTGGCATGACTGGCTTTGGGACTATCGAGCAGATCAGAACACTGGTGGCAGCCATTTTATGGAATGGGCAGATGAAGAAAAAAAAAACCTCAAAACAAAGCCGGCTTCCCCACCTGCACTATCGAGGAGACCATCAGTTGACACAGAGCCTCGCCTAAGCTCAGCTTGAACTTGCATGAAAACATAGAAAGATGCTTAACTGCACCCTATTTTATAGGAACTTGAAGTAGCAGGACTAGGACAGATGGCAAAGGTCTTTGGGGGCATTCTGACCCCATCCAGGAGAGACTAAGCTATTCTGGAAGGAACTGACTCATGTATGGCTGCAATTAAATCCTACTAGACCTAAAAGCCAAAGAATGCATCAACTGCAGACACCAAGTTGATTTAAAAATAAAAATAAAAAAGATAGAAGGCTTGAATTATTCATTTCATTTTCAAGCCTGTTACAACAGGCAGGATGGTAATGGAGACTGGGGATTGGGGTGGAGGTGAGGGGGCCAGATTCATAAAGCTCATTTTAAAGGCCATCTAACAACACAGTAGGTGGATACAGGAGACAGAAGGTCACTGCTGTTGCAGCCTGCAGGTGAAGCCGTGAGCCCCTGCTGTACTGAGATTGTAGAAGAAGCAAGGCACAGGAAGGGGAGGGCAGACCTGGATGTAAGGTAATAGGGCTGTGACTTCCTGGGAGTTTTCTGGTAGGAGTTAGTTTGACTTTATCCTTAGCTGAAATCTGTTGCCACATTGAAGACCCAACAGGAAAGACACAGAAGGTGACACAACAGGAAGCTGGAGTGGAAACTAGTGGGTGACTTGGGTGCTTTCTTCAGCCCTGAAGCTGGTAGTGTTTTCCAGGTGGCAGCAACTGCCCCAGGAAATTATCCAGATGAACTGCTCCTCCATAGTGGCAGGTACACTACTACTTTTCTGACACTGATTTTCTGACACTTGCTCCCTGATTTAAAAATTCACTCCAAGGGTGCACACTGAAGGCTTGGGAGTTGGGGCCTGTCTTCAGATCTCAACCACAATTCCAAAAGTGCTTAAACTAGCTCCCAGCCCTCTCGGGCAAGGGGCTTGACCCCCCCCCAAAAAAAACCTCAAACTGAAAGCTCTCATTAGTTCAGTTCATACAACCACACCATTCAACCAAAGCAAAAGAAGAGGGGGCATTATTGTTTAAGCCCAAGCTTTCTTTCACACATATCCTGTTAATTTCCAGTTCTGTCACTGGCCCAAAGTCAATTCCTGGAGAAGAATACTTCTCTTAAAAATGATGTCTCAGCTTCACAGACACAAAGAGGTCCAGATAGAACCAGGTCAAGGAACCACACAAAATCTTTTGTTTAGCTAATTCTTATAGTACACATATAAATGTACTGAAAGACCCTTCCCAGACCTAATCCCCAGTGTGCCAACATTGCTATAACCTTTGACAAAACATTGAGGATGTCCCCTAGTTGTATCCAATCATGACCAATGTACCTGGTGAGAACATAACTGACACAGCGCAGATGCTTTGATTACAAAGGGCTGCTGTCCTGTCTTCCAAATGACAGTATCTGCAGACCGTGCCCACAGGTCCACAGGTGTTTTGAGTTCATTGTTCTCTAAAGCCAAATGTAGTTTGAAATGTATGTTTGGGATGCAACTGAAAATTAAATCGAGCCTTCTCTCCAATAAATATAAATAATTTTACCAAGTTTATCTCCAAAGCAAATTTGTGTTAAAAAATAGAGTTAAACATAAGGTACTTTCGTTGTCTCAAGAGAGTGACTAGTTACACAGAGTGACATAGGAGGATTCTTCTGGAGGGATGTGAGCTGGTAGGTAATCTTTGGTGTATACAAACTGGCTGGGAAGCACAACTACTCATTCAGATGACAACTCAATCCATTCTCTAGCTTTTTAATGAGAAAGACTCCAGCAAAGTAGAAACGTAGGGTGGTGGTAAGTTTTAATGATAATTAGTAAGCACAGGCAGGAGGCAAACCCAGTCCATGAGTGGACAACTTACCAACTGGAAGGTGACTGGAGGTTGTCATGGAGATTTGAGCCCGGCAGAAAGTTTTACTATCCATCAAATCTATAGGAAACAAACAAACAGAAACAGTGGGTGGGGACATTGAGAGACCCTCCTGATGACACAACACTATAAAAGAACAAGCATGCAAAAGGGTCTTCAGAGTCAGGGAGTTAGTTACCTACTGTGCTACCATAGCTGGGGTCATAGAGATAGTTTTCTTCTTTCCATGTGTTCATAATGGAAGGATCTGCAAGGAATGGAAAATGGCGAGGTCAACAATTGTTATTGCCAGGTTGAAGAATTCCCATTTAAGTCTCTACTCATCCAAGAAGCTCATGGGGTTGGGGGTGGGGGGAGCAGAGCCAAGAGGAGTAAGACTCTAGACTCTACTTCAGCTATGTGCTACTTTATAACAATGTCAGCCCATTTTTCTCCCAGCATCATGAGAATAGCTTTGTTATAGTTCTAACCTTGTAATAAAAACTCATTACATTTTCAGGCTATAGAATCCTATCCTACACCAATATTTCATTCTGCTAGAAATTGTCCCAGCCTTGCTTGACCTCACTTGACCTCAATCCTATCATACAATCATCAGAATAAATATACTCTGGGGTGGAGGAAAGCTTTGTTGGGGATGAATAAAGGTGTAATATGGAATTTATAAGCATGTTTTCTTTCTGGTGGTGGTAGATGTTTCATGGTGTTTCTTTTAGAAAAAAAAAAAACTGGCCAGTTTTCTCACAATTCAGTCATTGCTGAAATTCAGAGAGTGGCTACCCTTAAGATGAGTGATATCCACTGCTGTCTAGGTTTTCTCCAAGCAGCTTAAGGCCTTATGAAAGTCTCAAAACACAGGAGAAGGGGGGAAATGTTACCAAATCACACGAACAGCTCTTTAGGGGTGGGCATTTGCATCCCTGGGAAAAGCAGAAATGAGCCCCTTACTCCCAGCTTCTTCTCCTGAATGCCATGTCTCAGGAGTTAGCTGGAGTGAGACACACTCTTCAGATTGAAGATTAGAAGGAAACTCCCTCCACCTGCCCCAAGTGAGCCCAACTCCTACACAAACACCAGATCCAGGACAGCTTCCAATACAAGCACTCTCTTTGCAGGCTGGCCAGAGCTTGATGCTCTCACCTTGTCCCTGGCATCAAGCTCTTGGCCCCCAACCTGGGCTGCTTTGGCTTCCCAATATCCAGATTCCACATGTGAGGGCCAGGATGACAAGCCACTGGCTGAGCTCTGTTTTGTTTTTATAGAATAAATGGTATAAAGCCTGACTCATAGCTAAGTCCTTCTGTTTACGACATGGGGATTTAGCTGGTATTTGAACTCACAGCTACGTGTTTGGACACCCTAAGCCCAATCTTTTGGGGTTACACCTTCTGTCCTTGTTGGGTCACCTTGTGTATCTGCTGTTGTCTCTAAAAACAAACTCCAAAGAGGTTTGGGAGCGTTGGCCCCTCTGTGAGCCTCCTCTCCCCTCTTCCCAGGGTGGACCTTCTCCACCCTTGAGCTCAGCTTTTCTGAACCAGCAACACAAGAATGTCTGGATGGTCAAGAAGGATTATCACCTGTTTGGGGGCCTGTGTAATATCACCCTGATCCCTGCAGTAGGGCTATATGTAAGGCCAAGGTCATTCTCTAAGCCAAATCCTAGTCTGTCTGCAGAGTTTGGGCAGGCCTACAAACCACAGACCATCCAAGTTAAAGGACAGGCCTAGGAAGGCCTAATTAACATGTTTGGCAGCTATTTCTTTTTTTTTCTTTAATAATTGTAGACCAGAGCCCTTATAAAAGATTAAATAACTGCATGGGCTAATTTTGGTGTCAAGTGACTCAAAAACCAGCCCCAGGTCAAATCCTGTCCTTGGTGACTAGCATGCAAGCCTCAGGCAGACCTGAGGCAAAATTTTTCAACCCACGTGGCCTATAATCTACCTGATGTGAACATAGGGAATGACTCAGGAGCAGTGGCACCCGCATAGTCTTTTTGTGCCCATGAAGTTTGGGGGACAGAGGAAAAAGAACAAAAATGAATGTAGAAATTATGAAACTACAGACTTTTCTCAGAGCCCAGGTTAGGATCTTTCAAGTAGAAATATGCTCATGAGGCTTGGGCTCTACAGCCACCTTTGAATCCCTATGGAAGCTCACTAGGGCCCAGAGACTATGACACCTGCAACATCAAGACAGCGGCTCCCTCCTTGTGAAGCTCACTTCCATGGAGGGGGAGAATAAAGACTTCCTTCCCCTTGCTTTTCTGAAGCCAGCTTCACTCTTGCTGGGAAGGAAAGCCACCTCAGAGTCTGTTTTAACCCAGCCATTGGCCTTGGATATGGACAGTGCTATGACTGGCGGAAGGGTGTCTCGCCACCCATCTACACATTAGACAAAATTGGTCATTTGTCCCACGGCAAGGAAGAAGCTTATGGTGGGGTGGCGTCTGGGAGGTAGGGAAGCCATCTCCATGAATTCCCTGCCAATTCTTCTCCCATAGTCTCCTATTCTCCATCCTGATTTTTCCCCAGGGCTTTGCCTGGCCAAGTTGGCTCCCTCTGCCTCTCACCACTCACCAGTTTGTTCAGTCTTGACAATGACATTGTGTGTGGACTGGAAAAGGTCACTGCTGCACTGGCCTGTGAAGGACAGATGGAAAAGTCAGAGAGCCCAGACAGAGTCACAACTTGACACTTCAGTAAGAACATAAGAGTCTCTGAAGAATGTCTGCCATCTTGCTGTCTTTCCTGGTTTGCCAGTGGGAGTCTCCCCAGGCAGCCTCAGCACCACCAAGTCTGGGACCATCTCTGGCTCCAGAGAACTGGTAGTCCAAGACACCTGCACGAGTGGGAGTAATTGGTGTTAGAGGTGAAGAATGTCATAAACCAGAAGGCCACCTTCTCCAATATTAGGAGCTGCAAAACATTTACTATTCTAGTCTCAGTCTCCTCCTCTGTAAATTCAGGGATTAACCTGGATAGAGTTACTTGCATGACCTCTGTGGTACTCTCTCACACTAAGATATCATATGAAATGAAAGTGAAGATACGCAGAAGTACATTTTAACTTTACTAGCACTTAAGACTTTGGTCTTAAACTCAATCAACCCCACCTTTATTAGATTCATCTATGAGTCACATCTATGGATAAAATACCATGGGCTTTCTTTCCTTTCCCTATGCCTTCAGCACTCACACATGTAGTGCATGCCATATACCCTTCTCTTGACTATGATGTACAAAAGCACACGTGTGAATGAGTATACAATGATTTTCTTCCCTGCAGAGATTACCAGTAGTTCATATTTCTGACCTTCAGTTTTCCCATCTTTAAGATGGGTACAGTATTTACCGTAAGTTCATTTGATGAATCAATTCACAGTATAAATATATTCACAACAAATGTAAACTAATAGAATACGTATAGAAATTGAAACAACCACCCCACTGTGGAAACTCCTGCCATTTGGCATTTAAAGGCAAGGACAGTAAGACCGAACAATTCATGGAAGGTCAAAGATGGCCTCCACACCTCCCAAGCCTCCCTGCCTCAGGCTTCAGTCAGAGCAAAGCTTTACAGGAGTGGACATGATTGGGGTGGTATTTTTAATTCTTCAACTATAAGTCTGATCTTTGCAAAGATTCCTGAGGATTATTTAAATAATAGAGCCTTTTTTGTTTGATTCTAGTAGGGGAAAAAATGAGTAACCACCATTATGAGATATGTGGAAAGAAGGGAATGTCAGGGTGCCAGATGAGAGCATCCAAAATGACACCATGGCTGCTAGCATCACTGCCACACTCCTGCTGATGGCAGCGGTCCATAGGGTTCTAGAGCTCACATTTACTTGTCAAACACGGGTTCTACTATGATATAAATGCACTCCTCCCCCTCTCTCTGTCTCTGTCTTTCTCTGTCTCTCTCTGTCTCTCTCTGTCTCTCTCTGTCTCTCTGTGTGTGTGGGGGGGTAAACTGTCACCATGAACAGTTTTCAAGGTGCCCTCATGTGTGTGACATGAGAGACCTGAGGAGAGAATCTTGAGGTTTTAGGAACTATTGTAGATATAGCCCATATGTTTTCAGGCCAATCATTCTGTTTTCAGAAGTGTTTTAATTATAGGTATATTTTGAAATTTTGTTTTTTATTATTTTTAATTGTGTGTGCCCTCGTGTGTGTGCCTCTGTGTGTAGGTATGTGCACATGAGCACAAGTGCAACATGGATCATCATAGGTGTTGGATCACATGAAACAAGGATCGTAGGAGATTGTAAGGCCCTTTTGTGGGTGCTGGGAACCAACACAAGCCCTCTGCAAAAGTAGTGCATACTCTTTGCTGCTGAACCACCTCTCCAGCCCTGCCTATACACTTTTAAGAAAAGCAAGAGGGGTGGGGTTAGCCTTCTCCCCTCCCAGATACATGGAGCTAGTAGTTTCTCTTGCCTTCTTAAATACACTGGACTCCCACTTTAAGTACTTGGGTCTGGGTTGGGTGTACTGGTACATTCCTGTAATCCTAGAACATGGATGGCTAAGTAAAGAGGATTTTGAGTTCAGGGTCAACATGAGTGACATAGAGAGTTCTGGGCCAGCTATTTAACCACATAGTCCAGCCCAATCTCAAGATAGCCAGACCAAAATTTTAAAAACTAAAAAATCCTAGGTCAACAAAGTTTTTTTCCTTTCTTAAAATTATTGATAATCTTTAACAAGCAAATGAATGTCTGAGAAATAAGTTATTAGACAGTGTTAGAAAATCTAAAGGAGAGCTGGAGAGATGGCTCAGCAGCTAAGGCACTTACTGCACTTGCAGAGGACCCAGGTTCAGTTCCCAGGATCCACATGGAAACTCTAGTTCCAGAGGATTGGCACCCTCTTTTGACCTCTCCATGGACACCAGGCACACATGTGGTACAAATACATACACACACAGGCAATACACTAAAATAAAATGCATATGATTTTTTAATGTGAAAGAAAAGCCTGTCTTACTAAGACAAGTATTCTGTGTCTCTCTGGAAATGAAGGCAGCCACAAGAAGAGTTTTATCAATGCTTCTAAGAGATGAGACACATCATACCCTAGGCTTTGCACCTATCCTCTCCTTTCTCTGCTACTCCCTGTCCTGGGAAATGCTAAGTCGGAGCCCAGCCAGCTGTGGAGTCCTTGGCGTTTCCCACCACCACTCACCATTCCACTTGAGATGCTGCAAGTTGCTGTAGAGCAGCTGCCCAGCAGAGCCAGCAGCCCTCGTGAACTCCTGTAGACTCATGCTGCACAAGTGCTCTCCGCTGATGTCAAACTCCTGGAAAGGGATGCAGCTGGCATCCAGCTGGTTGGTGTCCAGGAGGTGCTGCAGCCATTCCCACACCTGGTATTTGGTCCAGTACTGAGGATGGATTTCATGCCACTGACCTCCAAAAAAGCCACTGGAAACTGCAAAAATAGGATAGAGCCTTGTGAGTGACCCCTGCTTGTTCCTGGGTAGTCTCAGACACAAGAGGTATGGCTGGAGATAATAAAAAAAGTGACCCCTGCTTGTTCCTGGGTAGTCTCAGACACAAGAGGTATGGCTGTAGATAATATAATGGGGACCATAACCACAGCCGCCATCATCATGGGGGCTGACTACTGAATGTGCTCTGGACAGCAGGCTCCTATCATGTGGGGTGGGGGTTACTCAGTAGTGGCAGTACATCTTCATATTTTTCCTGATGTCACATCCATCTCTGAGAATGAGATAATACATGATACTTGAAGTACTCGGAGCTCATTCCCCACCCCACCCACAAAGAAGTACCAAAGTGAAAGAGTTGACTAAAGTTTCATCTGCTCTCTAGCTGATTGCACATATGCAAATACATTCACCTTGCCAGAACACCTCATGAACACCAAAATCTTACCATTCTTTATATGGCATGTCATATTTACATATTTAACCTGCACATTTTCCTTGTATTTTAAATTACCTCTAGATTAACTACAATCCCCACAACAATGTAAATGCTGTATAAATAGTTAATGCTAGATTGTTTGGAAAATGACAAAAAGAGAAAAATTTGTTTTGCTCAGTACAGATGTATGGTGTGTGTGTGTGTGTGTGTGTGTGTGTGTGTGTGTGTGTTCACGTATATGCAAGTGCATGCACATGTGTGTTTAGTAGGTGCATGAAGGCCAGAAGTTAATGTCTGGGGTTTAATATTGCTCTCCATCCCATTTTTTTTTAAAACAAGGTCTCTTCCCTGAACCAGGAGCACACTGATTTGGCTAGACTGCCTGGCCAGAGAGATCCAGAGATCCACCTCTCTTTATCTTTCCAGTGCTGGAGTTAGTACTAGAAACCACACCTGCTTGGCCCTGGAGTAGGTACTGGGGGTCTCAAGTTACAGATGCAATCTACCACACCTGCCTGGCTCTCGAGTAGGTACTGGGGGTCTGAACTTCAATACTTATGTTTGCCAAGCAAACGCTTTAGCCATGGGCCCATCTCTCTGGCACCAAGAGGCATTTTTTTAGATTAGGAGTTGGTTGAGTCTTTGGTGTGACTCAAACCACACCAAAGCCACCCCTGGGATGCAGAGGGCTCACCATGGTCCTCTCTCCTACTCCCTTTTTTCCTCTTACGCACACACAGAAAGACAGAGACAAAGATGCAGAGAAAAAATGACTCGTCAAACACAGGTCATTTTCGACCAAAAATGGAGCTTTAAATTAAGCTTCCCTTTCTCTGATGACTTTGCTCTTCCCTGAAGTGACACATTCCTAGAAGTCATCTGCCACCTCCCCTCACCCCCCCCCCCCCCCCCCACCGCTTCTCCACTCAACTCCTACAATCACTGAAGTAAGATAGAAAACTGCCATGCCAGCATGGAACCACTTTGCCAACTGCTTTTGAAGTGACTAGTGTCCTCTGTGTTTTTCTTTGTGATTCCCCAGGTCCCTTTCTGTACCACTGTCCCTTTCTTCTGCTGTTGAGCCTCTAGCTCTCTTTCTTTAGAATTTAGAGCCACAGTTTCCCCAACTTTCTTTAATAACTGAACTTCCAGGAATCATGCTTAGGATTTCTCTCAATGACACCTGTTATGTTCCTGCTTATCTTTATAGGCTTCTAAGTTCTGGCTCATTGTCCTCTGCAAACTGTATGTTCTAGGTCATGGACTCCAGCCTTACCCATCTTCATATATCCATAAAAATCCTTTGGAACCATAGTGGAAGTCATTACCAACTCAGTTTGGTTCACTTTAAGCTGAAGAACAAATAACAAAGGACTATAGTTGTACTGTGAGACAATTTGGTTGAAGACCTGAAATACATTCTAGTGGGTAAGTTGCTGAACATGTTATATGTTAATGGTCTATGTGCATGACTGCCTTGTGCTCACATAAAAGAACCTCACAGAAATGGCCCAAAAGCATGGGAACTTATGGAGAGAGTACCAGCCTTTAGGGCTGAGTTTGAAGGTTGAAGGACCTTAAGGTCTTCTGAAAACAGAGATAAAGGAGAAGAGCCCTCTTCCAAGAAAGGTAAATAGCAAAGCCAAGAGGCAGATGCCTTGTACCCAGCAAGCCCAAGCTGGGCAAATGTAACTGAACTTGACATAAACTCAAGATCTAGACCATTGTTGCATGGCTTTTCCTGGGGAGATATAAACAAATGTCTGCTTACCCAAGATAGGACACCAACAACAGACCAAAGAATCAATACCAAAGTCTAGCTTGGTAAGCTGTTGAGTTTAATTTAAGGTTACTTATAGGAGCATGGGTGAGGGTCTCCTTATAGGAGTATAGGTGGCACTAAACAATGTACCACCAAAGGAGTCTTCTCCAGCCTACCCATCAATTGTTAACTGCCTCTGTACCTTCAGAGAGGGGTGGAACCTTGCATATGACATTAGTTTTCCCTCCACAAAGTAATGTTAATGGGTTCCATCCTATACAGGTCTCCTATGAGTGGTCACAGATACTCCAATTCCAGAAGCCATGTCTGAGCCATGGTCAGGGGAAAGCGCTCTATGAGAAAAATATAATTACAAGGAAAATACCCCTAACTGTCCCTTCAAAATCATGCTGGCGAAGTACTTAAAACTTAAGTGTGACTGCAATCACCAGGGACTACTGCCCAAATGCAGAGCCCAGTCCAGGAGGTGTGGGCTAAGGCCTGAATTTCTGCATTCCTAGTAAGCTTTGCCATGCTGCTGCTGCTGCTGCTGCTGCTGCTGCTGCTGCTGCTGCTGCTGCTGCTGCTGCTGCTGCTGCTGCTGCTGCTGCTGCTGCTGCTGCTGCTGCTGCTGCTGCTGCTGCTGCTGCTGCTGCTGCTGCTGCTGCTGCTGCTGCTGCTGCTGCTGCTGCTGCTGCTGCTGCTGCTGCTGCTGCTGCTGCTGCTGGACTGGGAATGGAGATTCGGGACTCCATTCCCATTATGCCTCAGGACTAACCCTCTATCCTACTAGAGGAAAGATAGGAAGGGGTGAGGGTCTTAAGCAATCTCATTTTTCTCCCCCTTCAGAAGCAACAAGAGCAAGAAGGCAAGATCAAATCAGGACATCAAGGTGACTGACATTGACATCTGTTGCTCATAGGATGAGCTTCCTTGCCCCCTCCTTACAGCCGAACAAATGCATCCCTTCAGCCTCTCCTATGGGGTACAGCAACAGGGGAAGTAGAGGGAGGACTGGGAAATGTAGCCCCCCACTTGAGGTCTATAGAAATTCTTCCCCAATACCCCAATGCAAAGCTCATAATGAGCATCTCCATGTCCTTATGACTATTTTTATTATCATTGTATCTCACACATGGCATTATTTAAGGGTGAGAACAAGGTTCCTGTTGGTGGTGACGATGATCTGTATTCCTAAAATAATTTCATTTCCTAGAAGCAGACACCCACAACTAAACACTGAACTGAACTGGAATCTAGTTGCAGAGAAGGAAGAGGGATGAGCAAGGGGGTCTAGACCAGGCTGGTGAAACCCACAGCAACAGCTGACCTGAACAAGGGAGAGCTCTTGGTCCCCAGAGTGATACCTGGGAAACCAGTATGGGACTGATCCAGACCCCCTGAATGTGGGTGTCAGTGAGGAGACTTTGGAAATCTACAGGACCTCTTGTGGTGGATCAGTACTTGTCCCTAGCATAGGAATGGACTTTGGGAGCCCACCCCACATGGAGGGATACTCCCTGAGCCTAGATACAAGGGGGTTGGCCTAGGCCCTATCCCATAGAATAAGACAGACTTTGAAGACCCCCCCCCCCATGGAAGGCCTCACCCTCCTTTGGGAGCAGATAGAGTATGGGAAAGGTAGGCTGTTAGTTGGGGGGCAGGGGAGGAGGGGAGGGAAAGGGACCCTGGGATTAACATGTAAGATAATTTTCTTTCTAATTAAAAGAAAAAATAATAATAATTTCATTTCCTATAACAAGTAATTTCATTTCCTATAACAAGTGTGTTTGCTAACAAAAGAACAGCTCTCATGAACTCAATGGTGTGCCCATGTTCCTCTCTCCTGTGCACTCAGTGTGAACCTAATTAATTATGGGTAGCTTCTGATAATCTGTTCAGACCTGGGAGAGCAGAGCCAGAAACGTGCCTGAAGTTGGCTGGGAGAAGATGCCTCCCTCCTTAGGGAATCATCAGAGTCCCTTATGTCAGGGAAACTGAAAAGCCAGTGGGTTCTATTCTCTGCTATGCAGCTGACTCCCCCCTCCCTTTCAGTCTTGACAAAGATCAGAGTCTTCTTGACACCTCCAGAGCTAAAGAAATAAAAGTGACATCTCAATTCTGCTCCCTGCTAAGTCCACTGCTCCCGGTTCTCCAAAGCAAATAGTAGAAATGATGCCTGGGGCATGCTGAGACTTCCTGCTCTCTTTGGAAGATTATTTTTTTGCTAGGTCCATACAGCAAGTTCAAGGTCTGCCACGGAATACGTAACTGTCCAGAAAGGGCACAAGTTTTAGGAGACAAGTGATCTAAGACAGGAAGGCCACCTGTCCAAGCTTCCTGCCATGCTTGGCTGGGATTCCAAATTAAAAGAGGAGTGCCACGTGGACCCACCACTCAGTGGAGAATGTCACCCTACCCTCACTCCTGCTTCTCAAACAGGACACATCTGTGTGTCAAGGTAAACAAGAACAGCATTGTGACTGGCGGGGGAGGGAGGGTGCCCTGAGTCCTTGAGCTTCTTAAGCCCAGCAGTGTTGGACACTAGTGTTGGACACCTAGAAGCCTGGCTGTGCTGAATGCCTTCACAGTGAGGCACAGAGCCCCTGACTCAGCTTTCACTGGGGGCCACAGGCTGGATCACCAAACATTACATACGAGTCTTGTCATGAGACCCTCCCACTTGGAGTCCATGTGTTCTGGAGTAAAGCACTGAAAGACAGCACCTGGTTCCCTGACAAATCTCTTCCTGAAACTAGGAGGTGAAAGTAAAAAAGCTAGAAAGTTTAAACTATAATAGTATCTTCTTCTTTAACCTGTGTATGGGGTGGTTAAATACATGTGTATACTCCAGTACACACTCACCTCCATGATCCTCTCTTGATATCCCAGGAAAACAATACTGAAAACTTCACCGACATGCCTCCCTTCCCTTGGGATATCTCATCTACCACCTTTATTGCCAACCCAAATCTTTGCATTTGGGAAGGAGGTGGTGGTGGTCTATCTCAGTGGGCTTTGGCATAGAGCCCTGGGGGCCTACAGAGCAAACAGCATTAAAACTTTCCTCATACAAGAAAGTATGGATCAGTGGTAGAGTCTGTGATTAGCAAAGCATAGAGTTCAATTACCAGGAGGGAGGGTTTGGAGGGAGGAGGAGGAGGAGGAGGAGGAGGAGGAGAGAGAGAGAGAGAGAGAGAGAGAGATTTTTTTGCCCCTAGCCTCCATGTTATCACTGAATAAAACATCTATTTTTCAGGCATCAAGTTGGAAAAGAAGTAAGACCAGGAGAGGTTAGGGGCACGGGCAGTGCCACCACCGACTGCAGGGGCCTTACCGTTGCATGTAGGATAGCTTTCCGTCCAGGCTGGCTGCTGGTGGAGGAGGTTGTTGGCTGGGTTGAGATTCATTACACCACTTCCTTCCAGAATCATGATCTGCAAAGTGTCAAATAGTCATTTAATTAGCGCCTCTTAGACAAATGTCACTGGAGAGTACAGATCATGGAGTTCATTTAAGAAAGAAAAACAGACAAAAAGAAAGAAAGGGAGGAAGCAAGGAGCATGTCCTTCTACCCATTGCCACAGCCCTTTCAGTAAAAGCAAAAGTTATGGCAATTAAAATTTTCCAGGTTCAATTTTCATATGCATGAGGCAAGTTTTTATAGCCACCCATTCATAAATGAATAATCTCTGATCAGAAACGAAGCAGGGAAGAAAACACAATACCTGTTCACAGGGCAATTCTGGCCAGCATCCAAGTGCTTCACAAAAGTGAAAATACCAGAGAGATTTTATTTGAAGTGGAATTTCGATCACTGAAATCTCAGACCCAGACCCTATGTGAGACAGCATCCTGAGTCCCCACATAAGCGGCCCCCATGCTTGAGGACACAGGAAGGCTTCCTCAGTGCCAAGTCCTACTGGAGGTGAACTGATCCTCTGAGGACTCCATCATATCTTAGTAGAGCTTTTTAAGCCTTTTGGCTCGGGTTAAGATTCAGAATCCTTTGATTTCTGTGACAGACACTTCATCTTTCTGGTACAGAAAACTAAGATTTGATGTGCTGCTAAAAGTTATTGCTAGCTTTTCTTCTGATGGAGACCTAGAAAATTCAACAGGCTTTGAAGCCACTCTCAAGGTGACTTCCTCAGATTTTCAATTGTGGTAACCAGGAGAACAGTTTCTATATATAGCTCATCTGTAATGTTGGAACAATGTAAAAATTTTACATCTCAGAAAAATTCCCTAGCATTTATGATATGCCTGCCCCAAACTGGACACCCTCCATACTATAGGTCAGAGCCCAGGAGTGTGTGCAATTATCAAAGGGAGGGCAGGATTTTTTCTGAGCCTAGTGAGGCTACAGAAGTCTCTCATTCTTCACACTTAAAAGGCCAAGAAATGATGTCTCTGTTCTTTACAAAATATTGAGGTATGGATAGCCACACTTGGAGGAAATTTTGCATCCTTAGGTGTCACTCATGTAAACAGATTGGAATGGTCCCCTCAGAGTAAACACACACACACACACACACACACACACACACACACACACACACACACACACCTACACACACACATCTAACTGAGCTTCAGCTCCTCTGGTTGGCTCTATGTAGAACCTCAGAGAAAAGATATATAACCTTAGGAAAGCATATAATACATTCATACATTCATGTATTCAGCAAATATTTATGGCCCTGATGAAGAGCTAGGAACTGCACAGGATATGGGACCAGAGCATAGGGGTTAAGCTGGGCTAGATACCACTTGTAATTGTTGACCTCATCATCACTGTTGCTGCTTGGTGAATATGTAGGCTTATCCCAGTGTGAGTGGAAAGTGAAGAAAGAAAGGGAAGCAGAAATGGCAAACAATTCAGTTAGTGATGCACAGGAGAGCTTAAGCCTCCATCTTAGTACCTGTATGAGAGCTTTGAAGTCAGAAGAGCTGAGATTCCTGCAAGCTCTCCTGCTTGCTAGTTACAGTGAATGCTAGCTCAATATCTTAGCCTTCAGATTCCCCAGTGTGAAAATGCAGAAGATTACATCTAGCTCGGACACTGGTTGGGGGGTCAAACACATTTCTATACTTGCAACACTTGGCACAAAGTCTGACAGTTAAGTGAAACCACTGTGGGGACAGTGGCTACCTCTGTGGATAAACTGGACTTAAAACCACCCAGGAACTCCATTTTTCAATCTAAAAAGTTAAAACTGATTTTTTTTGTTTGTTTGTTTTGGTTTTGGTTTTTTAAGACAGGGTTTCTTTGTAGCTTTGGAGGCTGTCCTGGCACTTGCTCTGTAGACCAGGCTGACCTCAAACTCACAGAGATCTGCCTGTCTCTGCCTCCCAAGTGCTAGGATTAAAGGCGTACACTACCACCACCCAAAGCCCCCTTCTAGAAAAGTATTTTGTTCTCACCTTGAGAGAAGGAAAACCAACCAAGTCAAACATTTCTTTCACACAGTAATAGAGGCATTTTCCCATTGGGCTTTTTAGAACAATCCCCCTAAGCTAATTGATCCATGGGGGGACTTGGTGGCTGGGAGGAACAGGACCCAGCCCTGGCTCATGTTTGCTCAAGGCTGGGTTTCTGCCTTGGCAGCGTTTGCTCACCCACAAGCAGTCGAAAGGTTACTGTTTAACCCTAAGAGGGCTGAAGCTCAGAGCCCAGCCCTGCTCAAGAGAGCAGCCCTGCAGGCTCAGGGAACAGAAAAAGATAGACCTCCCACCACCGGTTCCAAGGACTCTGCCTGCAGGGCAGCTTCAAAGTGGCTGTGTTGGTGGAGACAAGACCTGCTGGATCTAGGAGAAGCCTCCCTTTGGGCAAGTTCAGGGCTTTGTTCTCTACTTCCTAAGAAAAGGCAGGTGGTATGGGGGCTGGCCCCACTCTTCTGAGTTGAGGAGGGAACTGAAACTCTAGCTCCTCTGCTCACTGTAGATGATGCTGAATTCTGTATCTTTCTGGTCCAAAACCTCCTGAACCTCACATTCTCCAACTGCAAAATAGGTATATCATTAAACTCAAAGCCTGAAAAGAATCATCTGACACTATGTCAAGAACTTAGGAGGTCATAATAAGAGCTGGGGCTAAAGAGGTGGCTCCATCGGTGAGAATACTTGTTGCTTTTGCAGAGGACCTGGGTTCAGGTCCCAGCACCTACATGGGTAGATCACAATCATCCCTAACTTCAGTGCCAGGAAATCTGATGTCCCCACCTCCTCAGGCACCAGGCACACCCAAGGTACACATGTAAGCAGAATGCTCATACACATGAAACAAACAAAATAAATAAATCTAAAAAAATAAGAAGGATAAGAACATTTAAAGAAAGAATTTGGTAGGTGTCTTAGGCCAGTTTTCCACTTCTAGTTGGGCTCTTTTCCTTGGGGCAGATGTTATTTCTCAACACAACCTCCTGGAAGCTTCCATAACTGTTTCCAACTCACAGAGAAGCCTTGAGGATGTCTGGGCCTCATTTGCCTGCCACCTCCCACTCTGCACCCCCTCCCAAACCCTCCTCCCTGCCAGCACCCCCTTTCCAGGGGAAAGCAAGCAGCATGGTGAGGGGCCCTTTTTTACAGGACCCATTAAATGGTTACCACCCATAAAAGAGTTTATGTGGCTTAACCCTTAGTGAGTCAGAGTTCACAAGAGCTCCCCCAGGCTTGTAAGTAGAGATGTCCTGGACCCTGACAGCAGCCACAAGGAGCAGCAGGTGGCACCTTGGGTGAACTAGGCTAGCCAAGGCCTTCGGACAAGCCTACTCCCTTCCAGGCCCAGCTTTTCAAATATAAAATGTAGACATTTGTCTTCCAACAGACTCTCGGGACGGTTGAGGAGATCAAATGAGATAATGGATAATAAATGTGCCTTGAGAACTATAAAAAAGCCCTATTATGACCAACGTACCCACACCCCCATATACTAATGTAGACTTTCCATGCTGTATACTGATTGCTTTATGGGGTATAAAGAGCTACCCTTTTAATTAAAAGGAGGAGCAAGGAATATTTAGGACTTGTTTTCAGCCTCCTGCTTAGCCTTCAGCATAGCTTTCCTTAAAAAACAAATAGTAAGTCAAGTCTAGCTAGAGTCTGCAGGACCCCAGTTAGGTTCCAGCTCCACTTCCTAGCTCTATGACTTTGGATCTACTACTCCTAATTCCCAGCCAGGGATGATGGGGGTGAGAGGTGAGGTTTTCTGATTCACTATGTGTAAGAAAGAGCTGTTCTGGAGGAAAAGACAATAGTTTTGGAAGTGTGCAGTCCAATATGTGGCATGCACACACCCCAATTTAAAAGTAGTCTTTTCTTTCTTTTCTTTAAACAGCAGATGTCAAGGTATTGCTTGGGACTGGGTCTACACATTCAAGGCTGAGATAGGTGTCCTATGCTATGTGTATGAAGCAAGTCAGAGAAAGGGCTCACTTCTCTCCATCCTCAGCTTGAGGGATGCTGATGGTGCTATCAGGGGGTGGGGTGGAGGCACAAAGAACCAGATCCTCATCATACCAGACAATGGCTAATCCCAGTTTCTCCAAAACATCTCCACAACAAAAATAGGGGGCTAAATAATTCTTTCTTGAAATTTCTAATTAAGGCCTAATATTTTAGATGGTGCAATATGGCAATTCAAACATGTATATAATATTTAATCAGTATTTCTTCTTTTCCAACATGTCATTTGCTTGCATTTAGAATACCTCTGTCCCAGTTGTTTTGAAATATATATTGAATGATTGTAGACTGTGATTAAACTATTGTTCTGAAAAATACTAGAACTAATTCTTCCTCTAATTGCATTTTGCTACCTATTAACCTTTTTGTCTGTACCCCCTTTCTCTCCACCTTCCTAGCCTCTAATGTCCACTATTCTCTCTTCTTTTATGAGACCATTATTTAACCTGCCAGCAAGGAGTAGGAGTAAGCATGCAGTGTCTGTCTTTCTATGTCTGGCTAATCATTCACCATGATGCCCTCCAATTCCATGCCCATTGCCACAAATAGCAAGATTTCATTCATTCAATGGCTGAAGATTAGTCTATTACATATATGTACCTCATCTTCTTTACCCACTCATCTGTCAATGAGCCATGTCTTGGCCACTATCAATCCTGCTGTAAGAAACATGGGAATTCAAGTAGAGTTGGGAAATTCTTTGGTATGGAAGTTGTCACACACAGGTAGGGTATCCAGCAGCATCCATGGCTTCTACCCACTATGCCAGCAACTCTGTCTATCTATCCCCCCCTTCTCTCTCTCCTTATGCATTTCCTAGAGCAAAATCACCCCGGGTTGAGAATTATCCTCAAACTGAAGGCTGTGGAGGTGGCAGCTGAGGCTCTGATCCTGCTGGTATGGCAACCTTGGGCTAGACCTTGGCCTTTCTAAATTGTTCTCTCCTCTCCTGAGAAACAGGCAGTATCTG